ATATAAGAAAACACAAACATTTTCTTGAAAGGAAAATAAAAGCATAATTTTTCATGAGTTCAGTAAGTAAAAATAATTTAATGAGAAATATAGAAAAAGATGGCTTGTGGTCTTGTGGATCTCAAAGGAAACACAACTTTAACATTTAAAGAAAATGTCATGCTGTTTGAGAGCACATGTAGTATTTTTAGAGATTGGAATGGCATAGTGGGTGAGTTTACAGTGGGTTTGAGTAATTTCTGCAGTGTAAAATATGAAACCTAATTCAATATCCATATGTTCACTCATGATCTTTTACAGTCCCCTAATGCTAAATGGCAAATACATTTTAATTAAAGCAGAAGCTGACATAAATCCATGTTCTATAATTTGGGCATTAGCTTGTAATTCCACTCAGAATATTAATTATTTTATTCATAAATAAATGTCTAGAATTGTAGTTTAGTTTATACCAGTAGATGCTAGCTCAAGCTTATAGAGTTTTCCTTTCTGAACTCTGATTAGGTTTCATACCAGAGATCCCTTCCTTCCTTATCCACCAATGAAAACAGCTTAGCATAGTACCACTGTTGAGACAGTAAATGACAAATGGAAGTGGTTCTGAACTGAAATTTATTATTGATTATTGCTAAGTGAATTCTCATCTTTTTATATTTAAAAATTACATATCCAGGGTATTAATTATTTGGTCTAAATTATTTGATCAAAACGTTTCTGATGCAAATATTTGAGACTTTAGTGGTAAGGGCTCATTTTCATTCTTATTTCATTTTCTATATGAAGTTCATGACGCGGTATATCCCTTTTAGAAAAGCACATGACATAGTTAAGAGTATTCCTTTGAGAAGAGAACTGTTTTTTAGTCTCCACAGGAGTCCTAAATTTAAATAGGAACCCTGATAGGATTGAGCTAATGTGGCAAAATTCAGCTCATCTAAGAGGCCTATGGAATCTGTAAATACCAAAAAGAGAGACAATGTGTTTTACAAATAACTCTCATTGTGTTTTTGGAAATCCATAAATTCCTTAAACTTTAGTTTTTCAAGAATTAATTCCCTTAAAGGAGAAAAATATTTTGTACATCTTCATTTTCCTCTCTTCTCCACACCTACAGGTGGATATTTATCAGAATATAGTCACCTTATATTTCTTGCTGTATTTTCATTCACGCTGCTGCACTAATCCCTTATGATTTTGCCTCTAATCTGTACTCCTGAGAAATGCACACATCTGTCCTTGGGAAGTCATCCTTGATTAAAACAAACAGCAACCTTGTAATGTCTCTCTGTAGAATCATTACAGCAAACTCTGTGAGGATTAAATAAGATGACAATAATAATTTAAGTATCATGTGTAGCTACCTTAAAATAGTTCTATCTAGCTCTTCCATCTATTTAAGGTTTGGAAAGAATCCTACCTTCCATCAATACTTACTGTGCACTTTCACTAAAAAGGAGATTAATTGAAACAGCAGTGAATTTTTTTAAAATATTCTGTGGAGAAATGCATGTACAAACTATATTAATTGAGCTCTAAAATAGTGATGCTAAACAACAAAAGCAAGGAAATGCACAGTGAAGCAGGAAATGTACCATATGTTATTGTATACCTGGGTACAATGGGGACACTATCTTAATGGCTTTCTTAATATTTCTGTTGTACCAGATATTGGTGGACATATGGTATGCTGCCTTTTTATACGCTTGTGTCTTTTCACAATTTTGTTAGCTGACTTTGATAGCATTTTCTATTTGTCTGCTGTTAGGAAAAAGGCTTTAAAATGTTTTGCTTATTTATCTGGAGTTTGAAACCCATGCACCCATCATTTTGCTTATTAATTTATACCCCATTTTTAAAACTTTCTTCAAGACCTGTTGCTTATTTCTTTTATTTTTAAGCTTTCCATAGTCTTAGTCCCAGTCTGGAAGTAATTTGAAATACAATTAAGTGTTTCACATGCAGATGGGTTTCAACTCAATGTCAGTGCTGGCCAAACAGATGGCTAAAGCAACAGCAACAGCTGCAGAGCTCACCAGGCTTTGCACAACCAGAATGGTACAACCATAGAATCATAGAATTATAGAATCCTTTAGGTTGGAAAAGACCTTCAGGATCATTTAGTTCACCAGTTAACCCAGCACCACTGAACTATGTCCCTAAGCATCATATCTGCACATCTTTTGAACACCCCCAGGGATGATGACACAACTACTTCCCTGGGCAGCTGGTTTCAGTGCTTGACAACCTTTTACTAAAGAAATTTTTCCTAATATCCAACCTAAACCTCCACTGGCACAACTTAAGGTTATTTTCTCTTGTCCTTTTTCTTACTTGAGCACTCATGCAACTGGCTTCTTCCCTACTGACCCAAGGAACCTCCACGAGCTCCAGCTGGCAGCAAAGTTTCCTGTTTCACTTGACTCCTACTGCCCTTCCAGCTGAGAAACAAAATAAAACTTCTTGTGACATCATTTCCTGGACACCACCTGTTTTCAAGTTTGGCTGATACAGAATACCAAAGGGAAAGGTTTCCCTAATTTTTTTATGGCCCAATCTTCATAAATGTTCGCATTTAAATAGGTCGTTCATTGCTTCCATCACATGGAATACACACATTGAAGTCACAGAAGTCCAGAAGTAGTCAGAGGAAATATATCATGTAGCAGAGAAGAGCAACTGGGCCAAATCCTTTTGACATACATGTGACTTTCTCCAGTTATATCCTGGCAAAAATTCCCTTCATTAAAGTGATCTCAGGGCTTCTTACTGGAGGTGTTTGAAGACTGTTTAAGCCAATGTAGAAGCAAAAGGACGTTGTGGTACATTAGCTGGTCAATAGCCATTCTTAAGTCTTATAAGACATTACAGATCAGGGCTAGTTTTTTAAGTAAGATTTAGTCATTTCTGGCAAGTGTTAGTACCTTTGTGTGAACATTTAAAACTTGCCATTCTAATATTCACCGAGCAGTTCTGGTAGCAGCTCATTATATGTGCAGCTGCATTAGTTTAAATATAAAATAGAAGGCATAATGAAAGTCTCCTAACTTTTTTATAATGTCAGTAACCTTACATGATATCTAGCAATGCCAGACTAATTGTTTCTGAAATGTTTAAATAAGAAATATTTTAAAAACAAATCACTTGATTTATCCTGAAAACTTACCATGTGTATTCCTAGGAAATCAGGTAATTTAAGTCTATAGCCATCAATCACACCTAATAATTTTTCATATATTTTAGGTTTTTTTCTTTAAATTTAATTTAAAACCTTTTCAGTTGCTAGTTTTAGGAATTCTATTTTTAATTTATATTAATATATATTTGATTAGCACATGAATGGGAAAGGATAAAACTGAGTAATTTTGCACAAGTATTTTAATAAGGAGCTGTTCATATAACTTATCTGGAATTTTTTATAAGGCAAAGTCATTATTGGAAATCATTAAATGAAAGTAATTAAAAAGGAAACAGCCATCTCTTTCAAAAGGATTCCAGTAAAATTCAGTAGCAGTAACCAAGTTGCTGCACAACCTAGTCTTGTGTATCCAGCAGGGTGAAGAACTTGCCAGCTTATTGATTCTTACTGATGTAGGGCTTGGCAATCAGTCTGTATCTGGAATAATTAGTGGGGATGTTAATTAGTAGACAGGAGCATCATGGGGTCCCTGACACTATAAAGAATTACACTGCTATGCCAGCTCAAAGGCTTTTACACTTTGGCAGCTTAAATGTTTTTGACATGTGACGCTGTTTTTTCTAAGAATGTTGTTGTTTTATAAATAGTAGGCAGATTAGATTAGATGTGTGTGCACAGTGGCATGACTGACCTGTCCACACTGTCAGGGAATGCATTTACAAATGCATTAAAATTGCAAAGAATTAACTGGGTACTATTAGAGTGGTAAAAAGTCTCCACATTTTGGTAAAAAGTCTCAGGTTCTTTGACATTTTATTCAGACTTTGTTCACAAGACTATTGGGGTCCAAAAATCAAGAGAAAACCAATGTGTTTATGAATTCTCTTTTCTGAAAACCTGTTCAAGACACATAAAGGGACAAGTAGAGAGTAATTGCACCATGGCTTTTGGTAGGATTTGAATGAAAGTGCCAAGATGACACGGAGGGAATTGGAGATGTATGCCCCTAAGCTTAAAGCACAATTAATTAATCATGGATGAGATAAAAACTAGTAACATACAAAAACAGTTTAGATCTGACATGATTTCCTCACTTTTACACGAAGTCTTCTCGAGTCAGCTTGTAGTATAGCTACTTTGGGTGTACTTAAGATCATACATTTTGATAAATGTCTGCTGTTTTGTGCAAGGCTACTGTCTGTTCACTGTGCTCTAAATTCCCGAGAGTGTAATAGCCAGTTTCTGGCACCCAGCTTGAGTGGATGTTCTTGCTCTGCTGCACATTGTTATTAGGAATGCGACTTATCAACTCAAAAATTATAAAAACTGACATACTTTTATCATAGTTATGTTTCAATTATAAATTTTATAGTGCTTATACTATCTCCTTATTGCTATTAATTTAATGTGAAGACATTATGCCAAACTAGTGGCTAGAATTCTGTCAGATGAGGAGTTTGAGATCTGTTTGATCTTTTACACTATTTCCCACTTTCCCTTCTTGCCAAAAAGACACATGAGTTGAAAGTAAGTGCTTTAAATGTGTCTTGAATAGCAATAGGACTGAAGTTCAGAACTGCCAATCAATAAATAATGGCTCCTAGTCATCAAAAGTGTAACTCACTTCTCTCTGTGAAAGACAATTCCAAGTAATTGCTCTGAAACTATGCTTTTTCATTTCTTATTAAGGAATTAGCTGAAAAAGTATCCAATGTGTACAATACAGAAAGATTTTCCCATCTAAATTCTAATGTCTCCTATTGAAATATTTTTCTTAGAAGAAATTTGAGCTGCAACTGTTTAAACTTGAACTGACTTTTCTGTTTCGTGTTGTGGTCACACCTTTTTAAAAATTCCATTCCAGAGTAAAGAGGCGGAAGGAAGTGAATGCAGGATTTGGGACCAGACAAAGTTCCTTGTCTGTTGTTGGAGATTCCACCGTGACAGTGAGTGAAGATATGGGAGATCACCAAAAAACCCTGCAGGGTTACTGGCAAAGAGGAGAGGCCAACACTGTTCATAAAGACATACAAGAAAGTTTCATTGAAAAAGTGCATGTCAGATATATATAGGAATACTGTATGCATTGTTTCTGTGCATTCCTGATTTTTTATAAGAACCAAGGAAAATATGCTAGAGTCAGGGTGCACATTTCTAGAAGTTATGTTGGCCATTGTCATTCCTTTCCAGTTGTTCTAACTGTTCTCTTCTAAAGCAAAAGGTGGACTTTAATTAAAATGTTCTATATTTTACCTTGGGGAAAAAGGACTTTAAAATGTGCATGATCTATGGCAGGATCACATTCTGTCCTGGGAAGATGTTAAGTCTGAAATGGAAGTCAGTGGTTTGTTTCTTGCTTTGCTTGTGTGTTTTACTTTCATAACACAGTGGAAAAAATATCTGTATCACAGGAGCACCCAGTACCAGAGTGACATGTCTATTACACTTTTCTTTCATTAGAAAAAAGAAGGAAAAAAATTATTTTAAATACCCAAAAATTATCACATACACATTTAGATTAAAAAAATCTTTTCCCTATGTGTTTCTTATACTCGTCACATAACAAAATAAATGCATCTCAAATTTACCTTATTGTCTACATATTGCATTTTAATTTAAATTTTACTTTATTAATTGTCCATGAAAAAGAATTTTAAATGTCATGGAGGAAGTAACATAAATAAGATAAACTGGAAAAGTAGATTTTGAGGATTTTAGAAAATTTACAGTTTATAAAAACATCAGCAACTTTCAGCCATCAAGGGAGACATAAATTATAATTTTGTTTGCCATGCGCAATTAATAATGAGTATATGCAGATTCTATTTCACCAGGCTTGCTGTAATTGCTCAGGAATATGTTTGTTTCATTCCTTATATCCCTATAAACTGAAAACATATCTTAGGGCTTATTTCCTTTCCAAGAGGGGGTTGTTAGATCTCTTGATTTCTTTTGCAACCTAGGACAACACAAAAAGTGAGAAGTCTTAAAGATTATTTCTTACACAGGAATTGCATTTTTCCCAGGAATTCTCTGAGCTGCAGATGCTTTGAAGCTGGGAAGAAAATGTTCTTATGACCCTTTCTGAGCTTTAGGCTGCTGGAGATGGGATGTGAGAGCAGAAGTATCTGTGTTTTGACAACCTTAACCCTCTTTCATGTTTGTAATGCTGAACTAATTTCAGCCACTACCCCTCAGTACATGCTAAGGGATATACAATGAGGGAATTCTGTCTTTGTTGCCAGTAGCTGATTCACAAGTTTGTCAACAAGGTACAGAGATGCTGTGAGAAAATTTATTTTTAAATGAAATTTAAACATGTAATACTTACAAGAATTGACAATAGGATTCATAATTCTTTTTTTCATAATTCAAACTTCCTCTCTTTATTAGTTCATTGGTTCAAGGTTTTATATTAGACAAAAGATCTCTGGTCTTGTTCCATGCCTTGTGAAATGGCACACCGACTTTCTCTAAAACTCCATCTGCTTTTCTTATGCCAGCGTCTTCACGATGCCACAGTGTGTGAAATGGCTGCATTGAAAATGTTGATGTGAATGATAGAAATGGAAAGTGCATAATTATTGATTTTTAAGTGCTGCAGCAGCCAAATGTACTTCTAGGGTTATACTGATGCACTAGAAAGAATGGCAACACAACAGCTTACTGATAAAAGCTTGTATCATTTAGATTAACTTCAGAGATAAGATCTTTCTCTTTTTTTCCCTCTGACAAGCCATTAGAAATGTAGCTATTTTAGAGATAAAGTATGGTTTCAGCACTGACCAAAATACCTATAAGCTCCAGAGTATTTTTTTCAGCCCACAGTAATAACTGTGCCTAAAAATCAAGTCAAATGATATTAGGAATTACTGGGGAAATTGTGATTCTGTCTTTTCTGTCTCTATTTCTAAATCTGTAGGAAAAACAAATAACACTTAATTGGTGCTGGAGAACACTTCTGTGCTAACAGCTTGGTAGTGCAACATGGATATTGAGGGAAATCAAACCAGAAGCTAGTTTCTGCTGCTCTTTTTTAACTCTACCATAAACCCTTTCATATGTGTTCACTGTATTATACAGCCCAGCAGGTGGGACACTCCTGGCTGGTCTAAAAGTCATGGTGACAATAAAATATCACCACATGACACTAGTTTTAAAATTTATATTACAGAATGTCAGTACAGTATCTTTCCTTTCTCATGAGAAAATTTTAGTTTCTTTTGGGGTAGTTAATATTGACATTTATCCCACACATATCTTTCTGATCACTTATTGATCATATTTTACTTTCAGGCACCTTCTGAATAGCACTTTTTAAGTTTTCTTTCTTGCCTCTTATAGATCACACAAGATGCCTTAATTTTTCATGATTTCTCCCTATTGCCCGAGACAGAGAAAACTCAGCTACTTCCATTATCTAAATAAAATATTTATTTCATCTTTATATACACAGAGAACTTCAGAGGCTTCTCTGAAGAAGTAAACCCATAAATTAGTCACTTGAAAGTGAGTCAAAATAAGATGATGTCTGATTACCCTGGCTGGAGTTGAGAATGTGTGAGAATGCTAATTTATGACCTTCCCATAATAATACTAGAATATTTCCTGATCTTAAATATACACCTACAATATTTGCTATATACCAATGTTCCCACCCATTCCTCTTCACATTTTCCATGTGGGAAGTGAAGATACACATATTTGTGCAGGAGTGATTTGCTCAAGGTCACCAAGCATAATTATGGGAAAGCCAAGAAAACTAACCTTAAATCTGGTAGCAAACAATTGAGCTGTTCATCTTTTGAGATGAATGGTGCCTAAAACAGTGGAAAAAATAGTCGTTCCTATTTCCCTTTGCAAGGTAATAAATAGCATGAATCTTTTATGTGGTCAATTTTGCAAACTGATTGTAAACACAGTGATAGAATGACATGGAAATAATTTTCACAATGCTCAATTAAACCTTGTTTAATACCATCAACGTGTGTATTATTTAATATTGTTGCATGTGCAGAAAGATAGGAAAGAATGATTTATGTGGTCTTGTGGTCCCGTATTAGTTGATATGGAAACAGCGGGTGACACTGTGTTTGGAATAAAATAAACCAAAATAGCTCAGCTGGAAGAGACCTACAGTGACCATCTACTCCAACTGCCTGACCACTTCGGAGCTGACCAAAAGCTAAAGCATTTGTTAATGGCATTGCCTAAATGCCTCTTAAACACTGACAGCTTTGGGTCACTGATCTTTAAGAAGCCTTTTCCAGTGTTTAACCACACTCTCTGCAAAGAAATGCTTCCTAATGTCCAGTTTAAACCTTACTTGGCACAACTTTGAACCATTGCTATGCATGCTGTTACTGGACACCAGGGAGAAGGGTTCAGCAATTCCCTCTCCACATTTCCTCCTCAGGAAGCTGCAGAGGGTGATGAGGCTGCCCCTCAGCCTCTTTTTCTCCAAGCTACACAAGCCTAAAATCCCTACCTGCTCCTTCCAGGATATTGCCTCCAGCCCTTTCACCTGCTTTTTTGTCCTTCTCTGGATTCATTCAAGGATCTTTATATCCTTCTTAAATTGTGGGGTGCAGAATTGCACAAAGCGCTCGAGATGAGGCCACACCAACACTGAATAGAGCAGGACAATTACTTCATTTGACTGGCTGATGACACTGTTTCAGCCATCCCAGGATGGGATTTGCCCTCAGGACTTCCAGGGCACTCTGCTGACTCACACTGAGCCTGCTGCAGAGCAGCACCCCCAGGGTCCTTCCTCCAAGACTGCTCCCCAGCCATTCCTCTCCCAGTTTATTGCAGTGCCCGAAATTACTCCACCCTTGGAGCAGAATATGGCATTTGTTCTTCTTACATTTCATCCCATTAATCATTACCTAATGCTCCAATCTGTCTAGATCCCTCTGCAAGGCATCCTATGCCACAAGAGAGTCAACAGGCAGCTCCCAGCTTGGTATCATTAGCAAACCTGTTAATGGTGTATTCAGCTCCTGCATCCGGATAGTTAATAAATATACTGATATATTATTGATAAGTATATTGAATAAAACGGACCCTAAAACTGAGCCCTGAATAGCACTACTGGTGGTCAGTTGGCAGACAGATGTAGCCCCATTCAGTACAACCCTTTGAGCTCTGCTCTTCAGCCAGTTCATCACACAGCACACCCTAAAAACATTCATCCCACAGCTGGACAGCTTGTCCAGAAAGGTGCTGTGAGGCACAGAATTAGCAGCCTTAGTAAAACCCAGACAAACTATATCCTTCACACATAGGCAGATGACTTTATCATAGATATATATCAAATTACTCATGTAGGACTTTACTTTTGTGAACCTAGGTTGTCTGTGCCACGTTGATGTCCTCCTTCTGGAATTAAGCACTGCTTTTCTGAGGGATGTATCAATCTCCCTCTAGAGTACTTTGAAATACTTTTCAAGACACAGGCCAAAATAATGTGCGCTTATTGCACTGTTGACTTGATTAACAGTTAGAGAATACTACTGAAATCTCTACCCTTGAATTCCCCTATCCACCTGTCTCCATGACTTTCTCAACTGAAAAGTTTTCTCAGAATTATCTGAGTCTATTTTCCCCATTTTAAATGGAAAGAAACCTTAAATGCTGCATTTAAAATATGCCATAAGCATATTATTTCTCAGAAAACATGAAGATTCTTGGATGCCTTTTACCATTACAGACCTTTTATGACGTGACTTCAGGAAGAAGACAGGCAATTTTAGTCAACTGAAATCAAAAAAGATCTATTCATAATTTTGTACAGTCTAAATCAAAATTACCTAAAACCCAACACTAATTTCAAAGGATATTTTAAATATATTCAACAAATATAACTGTGTAAGACTGCAAATGTGATTCAATTGCCTCCTTTAATCATGAATAGAATATTTTCCAGGCAATGCCATTTCAGGAATCTATTGATCATAAT